AAACTTGGTCACATTATTAAAAAAAAACTGGCGCTACGTGATTTTGAGATTGATCGCGGTGTCTACTCACTCCTGCAGAAGAATCAAGGACCGCGGAAAGATCTTGTTATCCAGAACACCGATTTAATACTCATCTTTCACATAGAGTTATCGGGAGGAAAGACCTACAGTGAGAAAAAAAGTTCGGCGACCGAAATATTTCGGTTCCGGTAACCAAAGTTTTCGGTCATGGGAACCAAATTTCGAATAGTTGGACCACATTTTGCAATTTGTAACTACAATTTCTGGCTCAGTTTAGAATCAACGTATGTATACCCTCGGTTTCCCTTCGCACATACATGTTTTTCCAAATTAGCCAGAAATTGTAGTTCCTAATTGCAAAATGCAGTCCAGTTGAACTAAAAAAAGTTTCTTGGACCGAAAATTTTGGTTACCGGAACCGGAAATGTTCGTGTTGGACATGGCCCGAAATTTTTCCTCCGTGTGATCGGATCGTTTCATTCATAAAAGAAAAGTAGGTCACATCATTTTGATGAAGCATGGGAACACGCATTTAATTGCACTTTTTAATGAGCGTATTTTGACTGTTAAATTACAAACGTAGCTGCAAATTCACCAGCAATATTGTATTTTTGAAAGTTTTGAAGGAATAGTTTTGAAATTCTTAGAGGAGTTCAATGAATCCTGAATACAATCTTTAGATGAAATACTTAGTGTGAGGAAGAATACAACTAACAAGAAAGTCTTTTAAATAGCCACGATGTCATTATGCGATTGTTCGCTAATTATGATGTTTATGAAATACTTGCCGCGGAAATGCTCGCTCGTTGATGCTGGTGGTTTAAGCAAATGCATTTCAAATCGTAGAATATTTTTTTATTTTATATTCAGGTTGATACGGTGACCTAATTTAGAAAGGGTTGGAGAGATCTAAATTCGAAACTTAAAAATGAAAAATCCCTCTGTTCCATCAACGAGTTCTATCACATAGGATTTGAAAAATAATAAATACAATGCCGTGACAGTTCACGGAGCGAGAAATAATTCGGCATGGTAAAACAACAGGGAAAGCAGCGCAGCAAATGCGATTCAAAAGCGACAGGGAAACAGAGGAAAATCAGTCAATGAAAGTTTTCTCGATTCCTCTGATGCGACTTCATTACGCGACCTTGGTACCTTATAATTATATCCGCAAAAACCAAAATCATATTGCATTAGAGCGGCGGTGGTTGACGTGCGCAAAGATTCATTTCCTAGAAGGGAGATTGTGAAGAAAAAAGTTGAGTGACATGTGCCATCACTTGACGCCATTCTCTCAGTAGGAAATGGAATCAACAGGTGGAAAAACTTAGCTACACCACAGGCCACGGGAGCCTTTAAAAAGCGAGTCCGAAAGGTTTTTCAAAAATGACGCCCGGGCAATGACGACAAAGGAATCTCACTTTTTGCGACTTTCATGGGTGGAAAATATCGATGGTGTTTGAATTGAGCTATAATTAAATTTGCGTTGAAAGACACAAGAATAGAGCGTTCGCAGTTAAAAGAATGGGTTAAAAAGATAGCTCCGCCTTTGTTTCTCGCGTGTAGGCTTTCATCCGCTCAACAGCAATTCGAAAATTGAATGTGCCGCCGCTTGCCAGGGGATTGGGTCGAGGTGCTTCGATGGAAATTTATCAAATAAATCCAAAATTGAAAGCGAGAGAACGCCGAAATTAATTGACGTCTCCTCGCGTCAAAAATTTATGATGTCAGCAAATGCACATGAGCGTCATTAAGCTTTTAAAACCACACATGATGAGCATGAAAGCTCATTAAAAGCACTCAAAATTATTTAGGAGGGGAAAAACGTAAAATGGAAAGCAATGAGTATACCTGCCGGATTTTTTAGCTTTCAGTTTTTTCGTTGTTTATGGGGCAACAGTGTCACAAATGGCATGTGGTTGATTTGGATGGAATAAATTTGAGTTTCTGGAATCCGATCACTAATCATGGAATACGCAAGAACCGAATGTTTGTCATCACAAAAACGGCACGAAAAAACCGATCAAAGGAGGTGGTCTTGTTTGTTTGGTGGCAGATTTTTTTTTCGGAGTCTTTTGTCGAGAAAAGACACATTAGTCTCATTTTATACTCGTTTTGAACACAGTAATTCCGGATTCAAATTTAAGAAAAAGATACATGTCTCACTGAACGCCGGCTTTTTGTGTTTGAGACGAAAGCTGAAGGGTATAAAAGTGACTTTACGATGGATTTATTTAAATTATTGATTATAATATGTAAACCGACGTGATAACGAACATTAGGGATCACTTAAGCGCTTATCATAGATGTAGCAGTTTGGTTCATCAGTCAAATTGATAAATAGAGAAAGGATCATTGGATATACGTTTATCCGGAATGCATATTAAAAACCGTGCGGATATTAAAATTTAATACAACATTTTCCCGTGAATTTTAAGGAAGAAAAAGATACTTGAAACAAAATAAACATTTTTTTTATCATTTTTAGATGATAGTGAAAAAAGTTCACACGAAATCAAGCGCGTCATTTCGCGTCGCAAAAACGACTTCAGTCACAAATTCTACCATTAGACTGAAAAGACATTTTTTTTAAACGATTAAATTTTTCTTTAAAATTCCCGAGGAAGGAATTTTTTTACTCGTAGATACGTGATCTCTCACTGGAAAAAAAAGTCGCTTGGATCTAGAGTCCAGACCCATAATAACATTGAGAAGAAGAAACACTCTTGATTCAGTCCGATTTTTCCTTGAATTGAAGAGCCGAGCCTCTTGATTTAGGCGAATTTTCTTTTGATTCAAGCCAAAAGTCCGATTGAATCAAGAGTACTTTTTCTTGTCAATGTTTTTAAGAGTCTGGACTCTAGATCCGAGCGAATTTTTTTTTTCCAGTGCTCTAGGGTAAAAAGCTTTATACTCAACGAAGCGCTGACAATTTTGTCAATCCACATTTTATTTTCAAAAATTGAAAGGTGCCACGCGATAAATTCTCTACCGCGTTCAAAAATCTAACTCCGCACCACGAGCGGAGAACAACGGAAATTTTCGCACTTCCACGAAAAGCTTTTTACCTTCCTTATTATTTTCAAAACGAATAAAAAGTCGCGATCGCGATGGATTTCCTTCTCGCCGAGGGATCTAATTCCACTCGAGCTGTCGAAGCTTTTACTCAGGGAAGTTCTGGCGTGCGCGTTTTTTCCCCGATCCCACGAGGAAAAACCGCAGCCGCGCGTGACAAATTTCGTCGTACTCTTTATAATTAGCTTCGTTTCTTTGATATTTTTCTAGTCTGCGCGACTTTTTTTCCCCGACTCCCGAAAAGTTCCACTTCAATCCACCAGTGGGTCGCGCACACGGAGCGTGATTCCTGAGGAAAAGCAATAGCAAAAACCCGTCATCGGGATTGCCGTGCTAAGGAAAAACATCGTATGAACACCTAAACGTTGCCTGATATCTTCGGATAAAAAACGCAGTTTCTTAACAGATTATGCTATGGATTTATCTAAAAATAGGACTATTACTTTCTCTGGCTCAAGCATATGGTAGCTGTCTACGTAGGGAAATGAATGAAATCATGCAAAAAGAAAGGTGTTCAAGAAATTTTTGTCTCGGCTTCAGAGCGACTGCTTGGAAAGCACCAACTAAGTGCACATAAAAACATGTTATCAGATACGCGTCACCGAAGGCCTGAGTTTTGCAATAATGGACTACGAGATACTTTCCCGCTGGATTAACACGTATCTACCAACGAGTTTTTGTGCGTACTTAAGCGCTGTTTTCCAATACGACGCCACTTTAGGACGAAACAAACCTCTTTTTCCCCGACAAACTGTGGTATCTTTTTGCATAATGACATCCAAACATTATTTCTAAGGTGGGCCAAAAATAGGGATTCCGCATTTCATAAAATCACATTTTATATTTTAGCCTTGGTGTCCTTTGCCCCAGTGTAAAAAAAATCTCTAGAAATTTTCTGTAAATTCAAAAGACGGATCTATCGGAAATAAAAGAAAAAAAAAGTGGTTAGCAAGAAATACTGAAACAATGCAATTAAAGTGAGTTCTATCTGCAGGAGACAACGAATTTACCGATCAAAAAATGAAAGTATCAAGAAAAAACACTATAACTTCTCCTCAAATTTAAATATTACTCTGGGAGAAATATGGCAACGTTCCGATGTTTATACGGCGTTTTTCCTTTAAAAGCGCACCAGGATGACGTCGCTCCGGTGCGGGAAGATGAGTAATCCGGGCCGGGACGTGAGCAGGAATAAAACGCGGAGAGCACCGCACTGACGCATACAAATCATTAAAACGAATTTAAGCGTAAACAAATTGCAAATAAAAATCCGTCCCGGGGCGCGGCGCCCTGGTCGTAAAGCCGTCGCGATTGAAAATCCCCGGCTTGAGGATGAAAGGGCGTAACTCCGTTATGACGGGAGTACCGGCGTCCGTTTGATTAGGTGCTTTCCAGGGTGCAGGTACCATTTGATTTACGTGTTTTAGGCGGGCGGCCTGCGCGAGGCAGAAACGAGCGAATAGGAAATCAGGCCGACTGAAGGAGTGATCAGACGATTTGACCAGGAATCGGTGCCACGCCGGCTGACTTTCGAACACCGGAGAGCAAGCACGAAAATCATTGGAAAATTGGACGAATTTATCAAAAATCAGCCTAACTACACTTTAAGTTTCGTGATTTCCTGCTATATTCTTTCTGAATTTGATAGAAATCGGAATTGGAATAGAAATCGGAATTGGAATAGAAATCGGATGGAAATCGAAAACATAACGCCATGAAACTTTTTACGCATTTTCTGTATCTTAACCTAGAAACATACACACACGCACAGTTTTGAATGAAAAAAGTTGCTTGATTTTCTTTTAAATTACTAAAACTTGAAAATATTGGGTAAAATTTGAAGCAGCTAGGCTGATTTTTAGATGAATTCGTCCGTGATGAATGGTGTTGAAGTACTAGAGAAATAGCGGAATTTGACTGAATTTCACGGGGAAAGAAACCCGATTTAAGAGAAAAATGTTACAGACGTTAAAAGAAATGAACCATTTTTTGTTTATAAAAAAAGAAAAATCAGCTTTCTTGAATACTTTGAGATAAAACCGCGTTGCGTCATACTAGGCCGAGCAAAATTTTAGTGATAACGAGCGTTTGCTTGCGGCTACGAAAGTTTCCTTGTCGCAATGCGATTCATTGGTTAAAACAACAGAAAATATTTTATAACGTCGAGGACATTCTTCATTGCGACGAGGTAACATTCATGGCAACAAGTTTTCATAGTCACGCCTAAAATTTTACGAAATGGTGCACGATGTATTATTCCCTTGATGGAACAAGTCTTACCACCAGCACAAATGAAAATAGGTGGTGAAGAGATCGGACTTCTCCGTCATAAAGAATCACATTTTCCTCGGTGCAGAGATGGCTTGACAAAGAAACCTGATCGAAAATCAGCTGATCTCCCGGGAGGCGTAAGCCGGATTTACGTGCACCTGGGCAGGATCCAGACTGACCACCGGTGGACATCATAAAAAACATAAAAAAAACCAACGTGGTGAGTGGGTGGCGGTGCGCGTGTGCCCGGTTTATGGATTCCGCGGCTGATCGTCCTGATTGCTGATCGTCCGGTCCTCGACCCCGGCGCGCGACCTGTGTCCGCGCTCACTCACTGACCTATCGCGGCCTTGTGATTATCACGCTTTCCGCGATCGTATTCGTCACTATCGCCGTCGATTTTGACTGATTTCCCTGATTGTCGTCTCGCACGTTGTCAAATCAGTGAGATATCGGAACTGTCAATCAGAATAATTAGAAGAAAAATTTAAAAAATGAAAAGTGACGGATTCACCGAGTTGTATGGCCTCGCGCGTTGTCCATTTGGTCGATGCACCGACTTGGTCCTTCAAAATTGACTTCATGAAATAAAAAATAAAAAATAAAAATGAGAAAAAATGTGGAGAAAAAAAGAGGAAACCTGATTTTGACGGGCTTCCTGGATTTCGTGGTCTTGCACGTTGTCGCTTGGGCATACATACCGAAACATTCGATCGTAATAAATTAAAAACGAAACAAAGAATAAGAAAATGAAAAATGAGAAAGTGACAGATTCACCCATGTTTGTGGTCTAGAACGTTATTAAGGTGCACCAACTAAGTTCATCGAATAAATTTAAAGAAAGAAAAATTTAAAAAAGATAAGGTCTGATTTTGCCGGAATGTATCACTGATTTTCACCGGTATCTTGATCTTGATTGTTGCCGGTCAGGTGGATGCACCGAGGTTGCGGGTTTAAATATTGGAAGAGGAAAAATGATAAATGAGCTATCGAAAAAGGACTCACGTTTTGTTAGGTTACTACCGCGTTTTCAGCTACTTTCAAGCGTAATGCGGAAATTTTCAAAGGTTCATCTTTTTTCGTTTAAAAAATAAAGCACTAGACAAGAAAAGAAATAAAACATTCCTTCGCGTGTGAACTTTTCAAAAATTCTGCGTACAATATGATTCTTAAAACGAAAAAATCAAACATCAGCTTCTAAAAAAGATATACGTGATCTCAAATGATACATTGGTTCGATGACAAAAATTGGGAACCGATTTGTAGGTGTGATTAACGAGATTCAATTAGTGATACATTTTCATGCTGATATCTTCTTCAGGAGTTATTACGTTTTATTTATAAGTTTCCACCGTAAGTTCCACTTTCCACCTCAAATATGAAGTGGAAACTACATAGAAAATAGCGAAAAAAAGAGATTTCAGCCGAAACAATCTTGTAAAATGGATTCAGAATAAAAGCGAGAAAAAATCAATAAAAAAGAAAACACTATGAAGTAAAATTTGACCCATTTAAATTTTCAAAATAAACCCATCCTCATTATAAGAGCAATTAACTTCCGTGACACGTATTAAATTTACCATTCCGAGATTTCCGTCATCGTATTATATCACACCACTCAACAGGCCGACAAATTACATTTGAGTTTTTCTGAATCAAATCGCGTTTTCCCTCGGTGGAAAATGTTCGGAAAAAATTGCTCGAGCATGAATGGAAAGTTCCGCAAGAGCGTGAAAAAATCTCTCATCTAGGAGACGCATGACTTGCCTATTATGATCCGGCAAACAACATTAAAAAACTACTGGAAAAAGTAGGAGGAAAAAACGGATAAAAGCAGAACTTCGCTTACTCAATAGTAGAGTTCCGATTTATTGTAGAGCTTTCAAAATTTTATCACGATATTCCGCTCTGAAAGCTCGAACTTTGGCAGATCTTGAATTTCGACTATCCAAAAATAATATTTTGATTGAAACAAAGTGTGTACGAGCTGAAAAGTGTATTTGTTTTAAAACTCTATTATGGTGGGAGGGTAAAAAGCTATAGATGGAACACGTGATAGAATTGAGTACTTTGGGAAATATTAACTGTTGCTCCTGGGTACCACCATTTTCTGGTGAAAATCAAAATTTCGGTTTCTACCATAAAAAAAAAAAATTTCAAATGAAACCACAATTATTGAAACAATTCCAACGAACTCAGGAGCACGTGCATTCAATTTAAATAATTGTATGTGAAAATAGTTTGATCCACTTTTCTTTCGTCTAGAAAATGTTAATTTGCGGAATAAATTTTAGAAACAAATATTTTTGAGTTTCATTTTTAAATAACTGGCTAAATTTAAGCAGTTTTAAATAAAGCCGAACTTTTCTTACGTCCGTATTATTCAGAGTCTATTGAGTCGTATTTTCATGCTTTAAAATAATGAAAATGAATTTCATGAGGGAGATAGCTAAAAATGGAAAGTAATAAGCTTTCCAGAGGATGTACACGCATTATTAATGAAAAACGCTGCAAAATTTTAGTAATCAATGAAAGTAACGGACACTTGATGTAAACAAATCAAGGACAAAAAAAAAAAGAATTACCGATAAATAATAAGACCTTGCAAGCAATTTTCACGTACATCCAACGTAACAGTAATTTCATCAAAAAAAGGTTCCATCGCGGCTATTCAATGGGAACGCGCGAAAAACAAAGGAGACTCGAACGCACGGGTAGAAAAAAGAGATGCATGAGAATTTTGGCTCTCCTTCCGCTAATTCGATTCCGAAACACTTTGAGCCATGAATTCCCCCAAATCTTCCAAACTCCGGAACTTTAATTTATTTTAAAGCTAATGCATGGTGTCAAGGTAATTTGACACGCTGTACTGGCCGAAATCAATCAAAATTTCGGTTCCGATTCAATTAGATACCAATTTCAGCTGGGTCTTGTGGAACAGCGAGGTAATAGAGACTTTCATGGTGTAGAATTTCGACTCAACAAACAATGTTTAAAAAAATCGCTAAACATGGAATCATCGCTAGAAATAACTAGAAATATCGTGAATTCTTGCACATTACACACAATACTGTCTCTCCCCTTCTGTAAACTTTTCAATGAGCAAATGTGTGCAACATGACTCACAAAATAAATTTGTATCTTGAAAAATCTAAAATTACTGGGTATTTAGAACGGTAAATTTTGATGATGAAAGGCAGAATTTAGGCCTTTCAGAGGACTGTAAAAAATGAATGTTCTTGGACCTAATTGAAAACTTATACATATTTTATCGTCAATACTCGTACATTCAATACAAAATTTTACGATGTTATAAATAGGTATATGAATGCTCATGGAGCAAAATATTCTGTTTGCGATCTTCGTCATTATGCGAATTGTAACTGAAGATTGAATGTAGATACGCTAAAACTTTTAGAGATTGAATTAACTATGAATTGGGTAGAATCGTGTTTCTGATCGGATTCAAAGGTATTTTGGTAACTTCATAACTACATATATTGTGCGATGCAACCAGCGCATCTTTACTTTATACCAAAAAAATCAAATAAATTATGAAAAATAAAAGACAAAACCGAAGATATGGTAAAAATTCCCTAGAAATACGATTCTTTACGATCCGAACACATAGTGCATTCAAAATTTAAAAGTTTATTGGTATGTGAGAGCGTGCGTCTCGAGCAAGACGTTTGATAAAACTCATGTCAATTTCAGTCGAAAATCCATTTCAAGTCGTGACGAAACCTCGACGTAAATGCCACCATTTTGTACAAAACAAATCTTAACTTAATTATGAAAAAAAATCATAGTACTCACATACCGGAAGAGGAGGCTGAAGTGGTTTAACATACTCAACAAGGTAAACAAATGATAAATAAATAAAATAAAAAAAATCCTCGACGGAAGAACGCACCGGATAAATTGATATGAAAGGAGAGTTGTAAAAAACCACGCACTGGATGAAATTAGATTGAATTCACTGCCACAATAAGCCGCACTTTTGAAAAACGAGCGGAACACTTGGATGAGCAAGTACATTTTTCGAAACACTTCCCGACATTATTGGTACAACAGGGCTTATTTTGAGGGCGCAAAACTCGAAAAATTACGATTCAAACACAGGATTTTGAGCCGCTGCGGGGCCGGGGCTCCACGGTCGAATCCGGGGGCTCAGAAGGGCGCGCGTGAAACACTTGGCACATGGGACGGCTGAAACTCGGCTTCAGCCTGGAACTACATATGAGCTAGAGGCATAGGCGATTGCGCCAGGTGATCCGGCGACGCGGCGTGGTAGTGCTGCTGCAGTTGGTGTTGCATCCTATTCTGCTCCATCGCCGAAGAGTCCGTGGGCAGGTACATGGAGATCATGGAGCGGAGATCGCCCGTCGTGTTCCCGTACTCCCTTTTGATCACCGTCGGCGGCCCTTGCGGCGTCGGCGTGTGGATCCCCGCCGACGAGGGCGACACCGGCTCGGACTTTATACTCGACCCGCTCGGGCTATGCGAGCCTGGCTGCTGTATACTCGAGGAGTGATAGGGGGACCCGGCGCCGGTCGAACTGTACACGCTGTAGGATCCGTTCATGTAGGAGTTGAGGTTGGAGTTGGGGTGCATCTGCGACATGTCGTAGCGGTACCCGCCGGGCATGTGCGTGGAGTAGCTCTGGTGGTGCTGGTAGGCGGCCGGGTCGTGGTGCATCATGTAGCCGTTGGGCATGTACCCGTTGGGCATCTGGTACATGTCGCGGGAGACGACTTGCTGGACGGAGGAGGCCGTCGACGTGGGATTGCGGACTTCCGCGTTGGCGCCGGCCATGAGGGAGGACGTCGTTAGGGGGTACTTGTCCTTCTTCAGGAGGGTCTTCGTTTTCCGCCTGGGCCGGTACTTGTAGTCCGGGTGTTCCTTCATGTGGACGGCGCGCAACCTCTTGGCCTCGTCGATGAAGGGCCGTTTCTCGGCCTCGCTGAGGAGCTTCCAGTCGGCGCCGAGGCGCTTGGAGATCTCCGAGTTGTGCATCTTGGGGTTCTCCTGAGCCATCTTCCGGCGCTGGCCGCGCGACCAGACCATGAAGGCGTTCATGGGCCGCTTGACGCGGTCGATGTTCTGGTTCTTGGAGGAGTTGTTGTTGTTGGTCGGCGGGCCGTGGTGCTGGGTGTGCTGGTTCGGGTGGGCCTGGTGCTGGGGGTGCTGCGACAGGGGGTTGTGGAGCTGGGGCTGGCCCAGGGACATGACGTTGCCGTGGGCCAGGGCGCCGTACGACGAGACGTGGTGGTGCGGGGGCATGTGGCCGCCCTTGAGTTCCGCCTCCATCGTCAGCATGTCTTCTCGGTGCGCGTACAGTTTGCTGGCTCGGTAAAAACAACACGGGGATAACTATCACCGTCACATGGAGCGCGATATCACGGTGCGCGTGGATCACGGGGAAAAATCTGAACTCGACTGGCGGGCGCGCGCTCCGCAGTTCCTCGCAGCGCCCGGGTTTCCCCTCCGCTGCTCTGATTGACGTGCCCGCCTGCCATCTTTCCGCTCGGCCAATGGGAGCGCGGCTCGCTTCCCCTCCGCCGCGGGGAGGGAGGAGTCTCCGCCGCCAGGTAACACTTCCTATCCGCCGCCGCGAGAATTCCGATGCGCAGCGCCCGCGCCCGGTGCAGCGATATTTACATAAATCGTCTAGGCACGTGCTAAATGCAATTGTTGCCGTCGTTTTCGAATAGTTCCTTCCGAAACTTTTATTCTTTCGCCGGGATCGGCCCGCCGCCAAACTTACGCCGCGATGGATATTTTACAACCCGTTTTGTTCGGCTCGATTGCCCGACACAATGCCCGCGATTAGCGCGGCCTGAGAGGGCGGTCTCGCGCCCGTTGCCAACTGGCACCAATTTTTATAACTTGCAATTTTTTTCTGCCACTTCGCACGAAATTTGTCCATATATTTTTTTTTTTTTTTCTATTTCAATTTTGGGGTGGGAGAATCTTTCAATAAGGCGTCCTATTTTGCTGGTCTCGCAAACAGCTCGAAGCCGGGATCCAATTACTCGGAGACTTATCTATCGAAGCAAAACGGGAATATTTTTTTCACCTCGAAAATTTTTTTATTGAAAAAGTTTTAAATAAATGTAGTTCTTTTCATTTTTTTATTTTTAAAATTTGAACCGAGAGAATCTTTAAATACTAAAGCGTTACGTTCATCACCGAAGGTTGGGTTTCAAGAACGCCTTGAAGCTGGCATCAATATACTCGACGACAACCTTAAAGTATCACGAAAAGCTAATGCAACAGTTTTTCCCTGGGAAAATTCTTCAAAACATACAGGATTATGTTACTTTCAATTGCAGGATTTCATTTCATATAATTTAGTGTCGATCATGAAGGCTCATATAAATTGAGTTGTGAAATCGTGAGGAGTAGTTGAAAAAAAAACTTTAAATTTGTTGGAAACACGCATCCTGACACCGGATAACTATTGCTGCAAGGAGGGTATTCATCTTGCCTACCTCAAAAATTGAAGGCGAAATAGCATTGCACGTAAATTACATACCCCCTTCTAAGCAATAGGACATACGGTATAAAAGTCTCCTTTTATGATATGGAAAAAAATGCACATGACGAAAAGTTCCAGTGTCATTCGTTAAACAAACAAACAAAAAATCTAAATGGCGTCATATATTCATAATATGAAAGTTTCATTTAATCAGGCGTGAATGTACATGTTGTTAACAACGAATGTATACGACCACCAAAATCAGCATTGATCAGTCTCAAATTCCAATTTTCCGACGTAACTTGATAAAAAATGTCCCTCCTTAAAAATATTATCTTCCATGCGCACTTTATAATCCCGTTTCTGCGGATGGCGAAAAAACTTCAGTTACCAATTATATAAACTTAAGACAATTTTAATTAGTTATCAGGGATAACTAGAATCTCGGCAGTGGCGATTTTTCAAGTCGGCAAAAGTGTTTATCCTCTATTTAAATCAATAAAAAAGATCGATTTCAAACTGCCTCGCCAGGATTCGATTTTTTATGTACATTCAAATGGATTAAAAACAGGGTTACCAACTTGCATCCCTTAACAACAATCCCTTTCGCTGTGGACGAAGACGCAAATTCTTTTACCAATAAAACTAAAGCAATATTAATTAGCTATTCAAGATTCCCAAAATCCCGGCAGAGGCGATTTTCCAAGTTGGAAACACTGTTAACCCTCTTCAAATCCGTTAAAAATATCGATTTCAGGTGAGGAATACTGCCTCACCAGAAATCGATTTTTTGCATACATTTAAATGGAGCAAAAACAATGTTGCCAACTTGCACAAATCTCGACTGAATCCCGGCAACGCGGCCCGCCCGCGCAAGCACCAAAGCTCTCCAGACGTCAACATGCACAGATGCTCGGTTACAGACGCACAGACCCAGTGACTCAGTTTTCTATTAACTTATTGTGTTGCGACTCGAGGATACGGCCATTGTCTCGCGGCCATTGTCGGGCCTAATTACCGCTAATCTCGGCCAATTTCCTCCACGGAATCCCGACTCCGCAGCACGCGACGGCACAATGCCGCTGTTTACCTTCCGTCCGATAAATATTTACACCTTTCCGCAAGTGGCGTGGCGTGCTCTGCGATCCATCGATATTTCCCCATTTGAAGCTGTGGTAATTAATCGATTATTTAGGTGCTCGCTGCGAACACCCTGTTTATCGATACTTTTCCATAGGTTTAAATGACCGATCAATCGATATATCGCAATTCACGCCACAGAACCGCGCAACTCTCGCACGGGTACGCTATTTTCGCAGGATCGGAATCGATCGACTCGTTGTTTCTGCTGTGCTAGGGAAAAACGCCGTATGAGCCTTCAGGCGCTGCCAAATTTCCCCTGGCAAATCACTAATTTTCAGGGAAACTTTTGAATGTTTGTCTACCGATTTCTCAGATAATTTTGTTCGTAATTTGATCAAAAACGTCTGAAAATTTCGAGGAAAAATGATCATAATTTTCTTCAAAAATAAACGTTTTATCGAAGGGTATTCGGCAACTCAGTGGCGAGGCGTGAATGATCGATTATCGATATTTCCCCATTTGAGCTATGGTAACAAATAGATTATTTGGGTGTTCGCTGCGAACACCTTAATAATCGATCCTTTTCCATAGGTCTAAATGGTAGATCAATCGATATATCGCAAAGCACGCCACGCCACTGCGGCAACTCTCGGATGTTCATACGGCGTTCTTCCCTAGCACGGCAGATTGGAGGCTAAAGACTCCATCGTTGATGAAAAACGCCTTAAGAGCATTCGAACGTTGTCAAGTTTCCCCCAATAGGTTGTTTAATTTTAAGGTGAATTATTAACATTTTTCGCCGGAATTTTCAGGCACTTTAGAATAAATCGCGAAGAAAATTCGCACAAAAACTGGTATACGAATATTCATAATTTCAACTGAAAATTTCATCGAATGAAATTTTGCAACACCTGAGGGCTCATACATTGTTCTACCTCAGCGCGGGTGTTCGAATTCGTTTCATTCCAGTGGCACGTGACGTGAATTACGATACATCGATTGTTATGCCATTTAAACCTATGGAAAAGGATCGATAAATAGGGTGTTCGCATCGAACACCTTGATAATCGATTCTTTACCATAAGTTTAAATGGCATATCAATCGATATATGGCAATTCACGCCACGCCACTGTTTCATTCATATCTCCTGGCCGCTGTTATTCTTTCACGGTAGGGATTTCGCACTGCCCTTTTCAGCTTCCAATACCTGTTAGTTTGTTTGTTTTGAGTAATTGAGAGCCCGAGCCTTTTGGGTTGTTTCATCTCACCTTTCTGCCTTTTTTCTCTTATCTTTGCGACTGCCGATCGGAGCACTCTCGATTTTTATTGGCCTTAATAATGGCACTGGCCTACCCTCTTCACAGATGGAATTAGTTGGCCGGGCTGATGATAGAATAACTCACTTAACTCGATGCAGAGACAATTTATGTATGCAGGGTGTCTACTGGTACCCTTTTATTCGAATTTCTTGCTTTTTGAGTACCTTTTCCGTGCTTTTTGAGTACTTTTCTCTTCCTCTTTCCTTACTTTTTCCATACCTCTTCCATACCTCACATGTATTTTTAACAGTATTTGGATTGGAAAAGTGGAATGCTCGAATGACACTAGAATAGACCGAAAAACATCATAAGGAATTTAACCGGGAACTTGATATAGGATTGTGTCTGGAAGTCGTACACCTATCCCTCAAGATACTTTTAAATGTTCATCACGAAAATCTCGAATTTCCGTACCTCTTCACGGAAAATCCGTACCTTTTCCGTACTTCCGTACCGGCGTGCCAAAATCCGTGCTTATTCAGTGTATACGTACTTTTTCCGTACACTAGACACCCTGAAGAGACTTCGCACTGCTATCTTTCTTTCCCTATTCGTCGCTGCTCTGGCGTATGGACGTATGTCCATTCCCACGTGAGCGAAGGAAAACATGAAGCTATATGGAGTACAGGGCTCATGCGAAAATCGAGATACACCCTTCCGTCAGAGGAACGACAATTTTTGTAATAGCGCTTTCGAAAATCAACGCACAGAGTTATCAAAAGTTATCTATTCGACGATTTATGTCAAAAGATATCTACAAATTTTGCCTTCCGTTTATAAAGCATACTGCACTCGACTAGCTTGATGTATGCTTCTGTTTTGCTATAGGCGAGCCTCGATGACTGTAGCAACATGTAATACATCTACCACTAACACGCGAGGTTAGAATGGAAAGTATAACATAAAGTTACCCAACATTTCTGTTTATTTTGGGGTTTAACAGCTTTTCCATTGCTTTTTATTTTAAATGCAACTCAAAATATAGAGAAATCATTAAGGTAATTGGAATGGTTTGTGTTTCATCTCATATACGAACCATAAGTGACACAATGACATGAATCGACGGTGAAAGTACCAGACCACGTATCTCGATTTGTGGCGTTCATGATAAACATCACAGAGGTGTTTTCTTGACAACTTCCGCGATTTTTCTTCTCATTGCGAAGAAAATTCTGTGAAAACTTCCAGGAATGATATTGATTCGTTCTCCTTCAAGAAAATAAAATGAGAGCGGAGATTTTTAAACACTGCAAACGAAATACGTGGTCCGGTAGTATCACCGACGAAATGCACTTCTTCAGTGTGTGAAAATACAATTTACCCCTAGATTTCTTTGAGATCTCAGGAAAATACCACTGAAAACATTGATTATATTTTCGGAAGTTCCTCCTGGTGAGGGCAAATGCTCCAAATAAGTAGCAGACCTTGAGAGCGCTGATCTCGCGAGTAGGAGAGTTGAGGTAGAAACCGGCTCACCTTTTCGAATCAAAGGCAGAGGTAAAAAGGATCAGGTAAGAGAAAACACAAGGGGTCGAGCGAAACGCGG